TTTGGAGTTGTCGCTTAGACTGTGCTAGTATCAGTGTTGGCAGCAGTGGCTGTAAGATCTGCGCAGTGGAGACCAAGAGCATTTTTTTTTTTTGCTAATCAGTATGCAGCGAAGAAGGTACAAAATCAATAGTGCAAGAGTAGATAATTTGCATCTTGTTGTACCGTGGTTACCGCAGCCAACCCATCACGTGCTTCTCAGGTTAAGAATGCATGGAGCCATACCTTCACTGCATAAGTCTTTACAGCATGGATCAGGGCACCGGGACGCCTTTACGTTGCGTTTGTTCATGGCCATAGCATAATCAATGAAACTGTTAGACTGTATAGCTAATCTTGATGCAGTTCATGTGTGTCTGTCTGTATTTGTGTTTTAGGAACTAAAGGAGCTGTGCTGTTGGCACCCCTGTTGTCAGAGTGAAAGTGTATATTGGAAGTATTGGCTGTATGTCTGTAAATGAGGCACGTGGTAATATTAATGAGGCTTGTGTTTCCTCCACAGAATATTTCAATCAAACCAATTATAATGCATGCTATGGCAGAGTGGTATATCAGAGGGGATAGTGACCAGACAAAATTGTCTCGCATTTTGGATGTCGCGCAGGATCTGAAGGTAACCATTTCGTCTCACTGTTGTTGGTGTTGTGTTGTTTTGTTAAGTGAACTGATTTTCCTTCTAAGTTTGTAAAGTTTATAGGAGTATTATCGTGTTTAAGTGTTCGACTGTAAACTCAAAATTCTTGCAGGCATTGTCGATGTTGCTGAATGCTCAGTCCTTTCCGTTTGTTATCGATTTGGCATGTCTTGCATCACGACGAGAATACCTGAAACTGGAGAAGTGGCTGACTGACAAAATCCGCGAACACGGAGAGGCGTTCATCTCGGCCTGCATAAAGTTCCTGCAGGTAACACTGAGAGGCTGCTGTACTGAATGAAGTGATTCCTTTCCCGTGTATCGTGTAAATATGAAATATGTTATGATTTGGTCTGTTTGTGATTTTTACAATCATACTGTCATCGTTCCTACCTGCCACAGGTTATCACATAAAATTTAGAATGGCATTATTTGGTACTTTTTTAATTTTGAAAAAATAAATGTGTATACAAGAATGGCCTAGGCATTGCCCATCCAGCCTTCCTGCTGCCATCTGTTGTTCCTACATGTGAACTAATAAAAGAGTTAACAAAGAATATAAACTGCAATTTCATGATGCTCGGCTTGTATTCAAAATGTAGCACTAAAAACGGAAATGGGTGAGGGAAGATCTCCATCTGTGGATATATATTGTAAATTTGTGATGTCAGAAGCCTTTGATAGGTTTGAAAAGGTTTAACATTCTGCGATACACAAGCCTTGTTTCGTAGCCTATGTTGTAAGGTTTTGCGATCTGGTCTTGTGAGGATTATTGCTGATATATCTGCTGATTCTTGAATTCTAGCGGCGGTGTCCGCAGATAATGGGGAGTGCTGTGAAGGAGGAAAACCTGCCAAAATCAGCGCAGCTACCTCATGAAACATTAACAACAATGTTAGCGTGTCTTCAGGGATGTGCAGGGTATGTGGCTCCTAATTATAGCATGCACTAAATATATCAGCTCCAACGCTACGTGAGAATTTAACAGTACATGCTGCTTCAACCCCCCCGCTCTTCCAGCCCATACGGGGCCCAGGCCTCTTATTGAGTTCTGTGATCATTTTTCACAGATACTAGGTCTCCTTGGTCGGGTGATAAGCCATTTGCAAGGCGTCTACCTAAACACAGGACGAGACAAACACAGAATAAGTCTATACACACACCAAACATCCATGCCTTGAGTGGGATTGGAACCAATGATCTCAGTGTCCGAGCAAACGAAGACAGTTCATGCCTTAGACCTCACGGTTGCCGTGACGGGCTGTGTCTCTGATTACATTTGGAAACCATTTCATCAGATTAAAAAAATTAGAATGAAATTGAATACCAGTCACCTATGAAAGTCACTGAGAAAGTTAAACTTTGTTATCCACTTTAACACGCAGAAACAGGACCGACATCTTGTGTAGTCTGTTTACAGTTTTTGATTTAATTTAACGGAGTAAGTAATAAAATGAGGCACAATAGATCACTGTAGTCACGGTGCAAGTGCCAAGAAGGCCCACCCCTTATACAAGTAATAATATGAAAGCTGAAGTGAAAACTGTCTACTGTTTGCGCATATCAATGCTGCGCCTTTAATGGGAGGTGAAAATTAATTTGTAAGAACATAAATGAGATGGGAGTTGCTCGTGATGATTCCTAGTCTGGTCATCTGAGTTATGACGTGTTCTCTAGTAGACGGGTACCAACATTTTAGATGAATATACTGTGTCTGTCTTCAGGGTATGTTTCCAGAACTTTTTTTTTGTTTAGTTTACAATTTCAAATGTCACAGCTGACTACCTCATTGTTGCTGCATGCCTTCTCTTCAAGGTCATTCACAGTTCAGTATTCAAAGCCGTTGCCCCATTCAGTGTGGATCCGTTATCTCTTTATATTGTAGGAGTGTCTCGCAGGACTTGTCTGAAACAATCTTGACGATGGTGGGGAATTGCAGCATATTGCTAACTAAACCTCGACAAGCACCTCCTGGAGTCCTGCGACACAGAGGCATAGAACCAACATTCAACCCATCAACACTCGGAGGACAGGTAAGCATAACAGTTTGTTAAATAACTGGACTTCAAAGTCATCTGTCCTTTCTGTTCACGTGGATGTTGTTAGTAACTGTAACCTTTGCTGTTAACAAGCACTTTGGAAAAGTGCTTATTGTGACTCACCCACGTCAGGCATTTTATTCTCACTTGTCGTTCATGGATGGCAGGGATACCCTCGCTGTAACATTTAGCGAGCCTGTGGCAGGTTACTGTCAGTGTATAGTTTTTTTGTGTCCATCTGTGCTGATTTCCAAGTGCATGATCTGAAATCTGTGAAGTGAAGCGTAGGAGCCATAGTACGGAGGGCTGTGCCACTCACAGCAGCTGGACATGTAAATGCCCACGCAAGGGCTTGGAAGTCCTTGCTATCTGAGTTTGTGCATTAGTGAATCATTTTGCTCATTCACCTCAACATCCAGCTTCTAGCTTGGTATGCAAAGAGATTAATCCTACCTAAATTTTTGCTGTACTGTAGCTCACCGCAATCATCAGTGTGTAATGTGTACTATTCCTTTGTAAATAGAACCATAGAGGACTGGAACAGTTTACCTGCAGGCATAATAGCATCTTTCCCCTGTAAACTAAACACTTTTAGAAAGAGGGTTAGGAAAGCTGTTGCAAGTACGGAGGCCTTAGGCGGAGTTGAATGGAAAAAAAGTGAAGTAATTTGAAGTGTCCTTTTTCGAGTGCAGTGAAACTAACACAAGCACGTGCCCTTTGATATGTTTGGATTTGCACTGTGTGTACCTTGTTTATTGTATGTGTTTTGTTTTGTATTGTTCCCTTATGTTATAGACTTTCCTTGTCTGTATCAGTGTAAGTTCTACTGCCACCAGGTGAACATCCAATTGCAGTAAAATAATAATAATAAAAATATGATATATTTTGAAGCGACTGTTTCCTCTTCTCTCTTCCAGTTGTTTCCTGTGACCCAGGTCCCACAAGTGGACGCTATAGCGAATATTGGTTCAAGTTTGGCCAGTATGAGTCTTGCTGGTGCTCCAGCAGGTATGGGACCCCCTAGCAGCTCAGCTTTCAACCTACCAGGTGCATTGGGTCCATTGGTTTCAGCACCAGGATCCCCCTCCAGACTTTTGGGTCCTGCTGCCCCAGGTTCTTCACAGAGTCCATTTCCCCTCATTTCGTTAGGGTCTCAGTTGCAGCACACAGGAGCTGTTGGAACCCAGGTTGGACCGGGACCGACTGCCACATCTCTTGTTCCCGGTGTTGGGGTCAGTGCGATTGGGGCACTTGGAGGACGCATAGGCCCACAGACTGCGGTGGAAAAGACACGACTAGGTATGCCTGCAGTAGAGCGTGGATGGCCATAATTATTGTTTCTTTTTGTCTGTATGAACCTTCATTGTCTGGGAATAGAGGATTTTGCATTTTACAGTTCCAGCAGGTTAGTGATAACGTGACACCGCCACCACGGTTATTTCCACACCATGTTGAATGGGGTAATAGAATATTAAGATGTTGTCCTGCTCTTCAAATGTGGAGCATACATAGGTGGTGGATACCATCATTTCAGAAGAGCACGCTGCCTCCTTCCTCAGGGATATTAATTTGTAAAGGGACTCCTTATTTTGTGAGCCAGGATGACGCAGTCAGTATAGCAACTCGCTACTCGTTACTGGCTGGACGACCAAGGGATCAAAGTTCAAGTCCTGGTGGGGTCGAGAATTTTCTCTTCTCCGTGTCATCCATAAAGGCTTCGGGGTCCACCCAACCTCCTTATCCAATGGGTATAGGGGGGCTCTTTCCCCCAGTGTAAAGTGGCCGGGGCGTGAAGCTGACCACTCACCTCCAGCAAGTGCCAAGGTCAAGAAAATGTGGATCTATACATGCACTCCCCCATACACCTTGATGGCGTAGCACTTAATTAGTTAGGCAAAAGGACAGCTTTACTTTACCTCATTATTTCAGGTGAAGCTTCAAACATCTTCCCAGAAATGTCGCAGAATGTGTCAAAGGAAATTGAAGATGAAGCAAATAGCTACTTCCAGCGAATTTACAACCACCCACCACACCCAACCTTATCAATTGATGAGGTCTTAGAAATGCTGAAAAAGTTTCAAGATTCACCCAACAAGCGAGAACGAGTAAGTGACACTTTTACAGCTGTGTCTGGCTTTAACAAGTAGGAAAAATATATAATGTCCTTAAATTCAAACACGATGTTCATTTGTTTTTTGATATTTTGCAGGATCTGACATGCTGCTTTATGTTAGTTGAAATGTAAAGGGTAGGCAGTGGTGGCTGTTTCATTCTTACAGCAGATTCTTTTTATTAGCTGCGAAATGTATAAGAACCTCCTCTTCAAAACTTCCGTTGGAGAGTTAATTTTATAGGTTTTTCCTAATTTTCTGAGAGCAGTAATTATCTCCATTTATAGTAAAATTGTAATATGATGCGTGAGATTCTGGTAACAGTGTGCCGATAGAGCACTGCATGTGCTGATTGCAGGTAGTACTAATTCTGCGTATAGATGCACCCACCAACAAGGTGTGGGGTTTGAGGTTTTTACAGCGGGGACTGTGACAAGTACTGTCTCATCTGCTGTGATTCCTTGTCACCATTTCCATGAAAAATGCTTCTTCCGAGGAATTTCTTAATGTTATATTTTAGTGTCCTGTTGCACTGATTCACGTTCATGATGTGTATTTGTACCAATCGTCTTACAGTGCACACAATTTCACTTTTTCTCCTCACTACATGTTTCGGCACTAATGTGCCATCTTCAGGTGTGGTTTTATTTACGTAACACCTGAAGATGGCACATTAGTGCCGAAACATGTAGTGAGGAGAAAAGTGAAATTGTGTGCACTGTAAGATGATTGGTACAAATACACATCATGAACGAATTTCTTAAATTATATGTTTTTTTTTTTTTCAAGATTGATTGTTATGTGATTGGATTGTGAGTATGTGAAGTCACAAGTAACAACATGTGAATCCAAAAATGGGCAGAAACAGTTGTTATTATATGTATCTGTTAGCAGTCTGAAGAAATGTGCCAAGTTCTAAGTGATACTTTGCAGTCTCTAAAATATCGGAATGCTAAGTTTGTATTGAAGGCCATGCAGTCGCTCAGTCAGTCACTGCCTTCAGCAGCAGACCAGTTTTGGCTTACCACCCAGCACAAAGACTGACATGGCTGATCACTCAACAAAACTTAATGGTGTGCAGTCACGATATAAGCTTCAAATCATATACAGCATGTCACAATTCAAATTATATGTGAGGTAGAAATATAATGTTGTGTGTCTGGTCAGTTTAGTAAGACTAGCAGAGGAATACAGGCGAATGTGAAATACCCTAGTCAGAACATGTTGAAAGAAACAATGAAGGTATGGTGTATCCATACTTCCTGTTCTGGTGACAGAATAAAATAAAGAAGTGTGTTTAAGGTGTGTAATTACAGTGTAGCATAGGGCAGCCTAAACATCTGTGGTGTGCTGTGCTTGCAGGAGGTCTTCAACTGCATGTTGCGGAACCTCTTTGAAGAGTACAAGTTTTTCCCTCAGTATCCAGACAAGGAACTACATATCACTGCTCAGTTGTTTGGTGGTATTATTGAACGAGGTCTTGTCAGGTAAACAAACTTCACTCCTTTCTTTGCTGTGTTTTTATTTATTTTTTATTGTGGTAGTTTAAGGCCTAACTGCATTTAATGGGTGCTGTTTGGGTATCCATCATGAGTTGTTGAAGTTTCTGTTTGATATGGCCTCCGTCACTTGCAGCTGATCATGTTTTTGAAGGGAAGGAATGTTACGTTGATGTTGGTATGGAAGAGGAATTTCTGTTTCATGTACCCATAAACTGCAGATATTTCTCATTTTGCAAATAAAATACGTTGAAGCCGCAATTTTAGATTTTCTTCTTCAGGAATTGTGTTTTTGAACACTAAACAGAATTTAACATTGAAATTATTGACTTTGAAATTGTATGCTAAGTTAAGAAATCCTTTAGTCCAGGAACAGTAGGTGGAGATTTGACGGTAGTTAACAATTGCATCTATAGATGTCATTGTATTTGCATGTCTGTCTCTTATGTTTGTATTCTTATCTTTTTCTGGCAGTTATATGACGCTTGGGCTGGCACTGCGATTTGTACTGGATGCCCTCAGGAAACCGAATACAAGCAAAATGTACTACTTTGGAATTGCAGCACTTGATAGATTCAAATCTCGGTTGAAGGAGTATCACAAATATTGTGAACATGTGGCTGCAATCCAGCATTTTTGTGACTTCCCCCCTCACCTGATTGAGGTAACCATTAGTAGCAATTTCATGTTTTTCTTTCCTTTCAAATACACTGAATAGGGAATACAAGTACTATGCTTTTGGACATTATCCATTGTCTTGTGTATTTTTTAAAAGACCGTACTGTACTCTCCTGTCCTGTCTCCAAAATGTTGTGTTTCGAAAAGGAAACAGGACGGCCTTTTAGAAAATAGACAAGATGATGGGTAATATCCAAAAACATAATACCTGTAGCAATATACCGTCATCACAAACTTTTAGATCATACTCTGTATAGGGAGCTTAAAGTAGGTGATTGTGCCTAGGATGTTGATGTTTCCATACAGTACCAGAAAAACAAAATTATGCCACAACCAATTTTGAACACCTTTAGTGAGAAACAAAAAAGGAAAAATAAGAAGAACATTTTAACAAAATTTAGTAGCATACAAAACAGCATACAGAGTAATAAAAAGTATACAAAATTAATGTAATTAAATAAAAAATTTACAGAAGTATGTAAAATTAATTGTCATGTAAGCTTTGTTCTTAGAAATCGTTCATATTGTCTTTTGGTGGCGCGGGGTGTGAGGGGGTGCTCCTGGTTCCCCCATCAAGTACTCAGAAACAGGTGTTCCTGAACAGAGTCTTGTGATGCTGAGTGCCCTTACAAATGGCTTGCAGCATCACTGTGGCTGGTGCAGAAAGTAATTCAAAGCAAAATTAAATGTGTTGAAATGGACCTACACTTGGGTCGCAGAAAGGAAGAACACGCATTGATGGTTAAAGTTTGTCCCCCACTCCTCGCCCTACATACATTGCACTTACCCTCCGTCAACACAGCAGGTATTTAGACTGAACAGAGGAGAGACAGCCTCACAGCCTCTAGGCAGAGAAATCTGAGACTATGCATAAATTCTTTCCGTTCAGCTATTTTCTTCTGGTGTGTGACAGTGATCTGTTTTGAACGCTTTTATGTGGATATGTGAGATGCTTATACTCATATTCACAGCCCTTTGAAAGTGTTTCATGTTAAATGAACTGAAAAGAGTTGGTAAGTTTCTCTTTTATTTTGTTTTCAAGTATGTGGAATATGGCCTGCAAGCCCAAGAGCCTCCAAATAGGCCCCAAGGTTCTGTTCTCCCAGTTACTCTGCAGTCAATCTTGACTCCAATCCCGGCCTCCACAACTGCATACAAAACAAATACCTCAACGACGGTGACCACTACAACAACAGTAGCTAAAACACCAACAACCACGCCAGCAATAGCAACACGAGTAAGTGGGGTACGCATTCTTTTGTTTTATTGGTTATTCTTTTGACTTGTTAACGTGCCATTAATACTGGTCCTATAGTCAGGTTGCTTGTTTTTGGAAGGAGGGGGTGAGTATAAGTACCCAAGTACAGTAATTAGACAGTGCTGCCATGTGTTGGGATAATTCAATCAGTTGACGGTTATATCTCTCACAAGAAAAGAAAACATGTTGCATCTCTTAATTTACTGGTTTTCTGTCATTTTACATTGAATTTGATTGGTTCAAAGGCAGTACCTCCAGTGATACGTTGCATCCATTTAAGTTTCTTGTCTCTTGGGGTTCAGCTCCGCTGGAGTTCGCTGAAAGTACAGATTTTTGTAAAGTGCTCATGTCTTTTCAGCCATCGATTGCAAATGCCACAAACATCGATACATTGTTGGTAGCAACTGAAAAGGAAGACAAAATGACAGCTCCCCCTGAAGCCCTTCAGGACAAAATTGGTTTTGTCTTCAATAACCTAAGTCAGCTGAATTTACAGACAAAGGTATGTAGAGTCTGCCTTGTTATTTAGAGGCTCGTCGTCTCTGTGTGAGAAACTCTCCATTAATCGAGACATTCGTTTCCAGTGTGATGAGCTGCGAGATATTGTGACAGAGGAATATTGGCCCTGGATGGCCCAGTATTTAGTGATGAAGCGAGCCAGCATAGAACTTAACTTCCACACACTGTATTCAAATTTTCTGGACGTCTTGAAGATACCGGAACTCAATCAGATGGTGCTACGAGAGACATTTCGAAATATCAAAGTAAGATGCAGTCTTATTTTCTTAGTCTTAGGATTTTTATTTGTTTCTTCGTATGGGGTTGGAATGAGTCAACGTGATACTTTGGTCACTAATTGGCCTGTCATACCACCCCCCAGATGATAGATAACTATGGAGCTGTCAGTGGAATGAGAATTGGCAGAGGAAACCGAAGTACTCGGAGGATACTTGCCTCAATGACACTTTATCCACAACAAATCCTACATGACTTAACCTGGGATTGAACCTTGGCCACTGCAGTGTGAAGCCAGCAAGTAACTGCCTGATCTATGGCACAGCCTTTCTCAGTTTTAAGCAGCTTTGGCTGTGGTGAATCAGGTGATCGGGAACTGACTGACAAGCTCTGTAAGTGTGGGATGCAAAGTTCTGTGGTATGATGTAATGTAGTGTGGTGGAACGTTAATGGCCTCATGGAGGAACCTGATGTCTGGCCTCAGGCTTCCATCTTATTTTGATTTATAACCAGCTCTTTACCTCTTTCTTGCTGTCTTTCAGCACCTAACTAAACCTTGTTCTGAGTCATCCTCTAGTTCTCTCTGTTTGAAATTTTAGTTGCAGTATTCCTCTCAGTGGCCTTATTCTCTCGACCCTTTTTACATGGCAAAACCGTTCTAATCATTTCTGTTCTAACTGTGTTAATACATTTTGAATTTCAGCTACTTTTCTGTCTGTCCTTGTTTTCCCATCAGCGCTTCTAGAAATTTTGTATCCATTGCTTTCAGTCTGCTTTTGTTTCAATTCTCAAGGTCAGTGTGTCGGTGCTTTATGTCATTGTCAGTTAAAATATACTTTATGTAAATTAGACTTAAGGAGGATGGCTTCAGTTACACAGAGAACTCAAATCAAATCAGTCAGCGTGTCCTGATCAGGTTGTGGTTTGCAGCGGAAACGAAAATGTGCAAGCGTTGATTGAGGGTGAATTTTTTCTGTAGCTCTTCACAATTTTAGGTATAAGCTTCGTGGAATTGAAAGGTCCCAGGCACAAAGTGGTGAAACAGTGAACTGATTTTTGTACCTGTGAAGAGAGAACTCTAAATGAAGAACGCCGTCTTCTGGGATGTGCCGCCGTGTAGATATTTTGTTAACCGACGTTTCAGAGGAATGTATCTCCTTCCTCTTCAGGGTATAAGAAATCCGCAAGCGATGAACCCGCAGGTGTCTGTAGACTGAGCACGGATTTCTTATGCCCTGGAGATGGAGGTGATATGTTCCTCTGAAACGTCAGTTAATAAAATATCTACACGGCGCCACATCCTAGAAGACGTCATTCTTCGTAGTCACCGCCGTGAAAACCTCAAATTCTACATAGCACTCTAAATGTTTGCTGTGATTCACTGTTGTTCTTTTAATTTCCTAATTTGTAAGAATGACTGGCATGCTGGTTGTTTCAGGTCCTGTTACGAAGTGACAAGGGTATTGCAAACTTCTCTGACCGATCCTTGTTGAAGAATCTGGGACATTGGCTTGGAATGTTGACTCTTGCAAAGAGCCGTCCCATTCTGCAGGTTGACATAGATTTGAAAGCCTTGCTTGCTGAGGCATATCACAAAGGACAACAGGAACTCCTGTATGTTGTACCGTTTGTTGCTAAAGTACTGGAATCATGTTCAAAAAGTAAGGTATGGTATGCGTTCACAAGTCAGACTAAATGTGTTTGAGTGGGAAATGTATTGTTGTGCGTAAGACTGAGTGCACATTTATGGTGTGTTCACAGGAAAGAAAAGTCAGTCCTTCCAGGTAAATGCTGGAATAGTATTCAATTAAGCCACGAGCACTTTCTTTCAAATCCTTTTTCACTTCAAGAGAATTTTGACAGGGTATCAGGAATGTCAGTTGGTTAAAAATTATTGGCACGTGAGATACCATCTCTGTCTGCATGTAATGATGCTAGAACCACTGAATGGATTAAAATGTAACTAGTCACAGACATGCCACATGAAGTCCTGTGTGTATTTCTACAAAAATCTTAAGCTTACTTATCAGAGAAAAAAAATTTTCTAGCAAAAATAGTGGAGGAACATGAGAATGAATGTGCCAGAATTGTTACATGATGCTCACATTTCCTGACTTGTTATACATCTTGGTCTTCTTCAGGTGTTCAAACCCCCAAACCCATGGACTATGTGTATTATGAATGTTCTGGCAGAGTTGCATCAAGAGGCAGACCTCAAGCTGAACTTGAAGTTTGAAATTGAAGTTCTATGCAAGAATTTGAACATCGATGTCGTCGTAAGTAACTATGTGCAGTCATTGAACTTAACCTTATGCTGCAGAAAGCATGATTCAAGTATAAAGTCTAATTTCATTCACATCAACATGTGTTGTCTTTATATTTGCTTTGTTGGCACCTGGGGGGGGGGGAAATGTGGAAATTTGATCCCCCTCCCCTCCAAGATTTTGGAAAATATCAGAATTGAAAGAAAGAAGAAAATTACCAAATATTGTGTGGGATTTGAGTTTCTCACAGCCATGAGTATGAGGAGTTCTCTTTCTGGAATATGATGCCGTGTATTATGGTGAAAGTCGACCAGTATTTTGGAGGAACATACCAGCCCCATCTTCAGGGTTGAAGAGAGGAAACCAAGGATGAAAAAGGCAGTAAGCACAGTTTACTTGTTTCTTGCTTGGCTTACTCTCTTTCCCTGAAGATGGAAACTGTATGGTCTCTGAAATGATGGTTGACTTTCACCAGACTGTACTGTGTTATAGCCCAAAAGTTGGAACTTGGCCAGATATTATTCTGAACCTAAATTATTATAAGAAATATGTTCTGTTGTGAATACCCCAGGGCAGCCGCGAAATCAGTGTTAAATAGCTTATAGTTTGTAGGTCAATTTTCTGGCTCACTGTCTTGGCGATGCCAATGCTTTGGTTCGATATTTGAGCTCCAAGGCACTGTATTATAACAATGTAATGATGACACCTTGTATGACTTAATTTTGTTGCTTATATGAACATGAGTACATCTGGAACAAACAACTAAGCGTGTGCAACCGTTTGTGCTCATGACAGGACCTGAAGCCTTCTGTATATCTGAAGGACCAGGAGAAGCTGAGGAACTTGGAGTATCAGTTGTCACATCCCAATAAGAAACCAGAACCCTCTGCCCCACCAGCCATGTCACAGTCTCCAGCCCAGCAGCCACAGCAGCAACCAGGTATGCCCTTAGTGTGCTCACGTGAGCGTGCGGCCTTCTGCTAGGTCGAGAGAGACCAAGAGGAGGCAGTAGGAGACTTCAGCCTTGAGGTTCTTACACTGGCTTCTGGGATGTAGCAACATGTAGTCTGCTAGAAGATTATCTTTCTTTTGGGCGAACCTGCTGGCCTTTCTACCCTGAAGGCGGAGGCAGCAGGATCATCTGAAACGTCAATACCTGTCAGCCAAATTACGTCAGTCTTTAATCTTTGTAGCGCACTTGCTGGTGGAGGAAGACTTAGGCTGTTGTATTTGCATGCTTAAAAGTTGGCAGAGTTTCATGAAATTTGGTGTTTTATGCCATTTTAATGTGCTGTGGTAAGGGATTAGAATGTAATGTTTCACTACATATTATTGAGTCAGTAGCCTCCCTACTTTGTATTTGGGTGGTCCTAGGTTCAAAAGTGCCTGAAGGCCAGCCATTAAGATATGTTTCTTGTGTCCCTTCACGAAACTACTGGGATTCAACTTAAAAATTAGGCCATGAGACGGTTCATCCTCATATTTCTCCCTTTCAAATGTTTATTATCCTGTCATTTTGTACCGTGCAGTCCGAGCTGTAGAAAGCACTGTAAAGTGAACATGGTGATGTTCTAGGTGGCAAGTGTAGTGTAATGAGGCATCAGTCTGATGTTAACTAAGAGAAGGCAGTAGATTTTTAAGTAAGCATAGAAATGGTGTGCTAGGTTGGCAGCCCGTGATATTCTGACTTGAGGCTACTCTCACGAGATGCCATTTTTGTGGAAACTGGCTGCATGTGTTGTTTAAATTTGGACCACTGTTATCAAAAGTATTTAAGGATATGTTCCTTGATATCAGACCTTTTCTTGACCGAGCAGATTGTTGTAGCAGTGATGTTCTCAATGTGTGTTTCAGTGGTGCTTGGTATGAATGTTGCATATGATTGTGTCTGTCCTGGGTTTTCCCCAGTCCATCCAGGCAAATGATGGGATAGTACCTGAAATTAGACCAAGACTGATTCCAGATCTTTTCCAGTTCATCACTGAGTAGTCAGCAGTATATAGCTGGTGATGCTGACAGCATCATAACATGAACCACAAAAAAGTAAGGTTTTCTGCATTGCTTACAGCTCCGGCCGCCACATCAGCTGCATCTGCGGCATCTGCAGAAGAGGTGTCCCAAGTTGCGATCTCATCCTCAGCAACGCCTCCCACTTCTGTGGCACCGACAAACACTACACCTACTTCCAGCGTGCCATCTGGGCCACCAGATCCTCGGTTCAGTTACATGGATATCAGCGTTACAGGAATTGGCAATCTCGCACCTCATGTATCAGTCAATGGACAAGTAAGTTTACCTGACTTCAGGCCGTGTGTGAGAATAAGAAAATGTTGGATGCATCAGCCTCGTGATGATAACTGAGGAGCTATTTCAAGGAAATAGCGGCTCTGGTCTAGAAAACCAAAATTAATGGCCGTGGGGATTCGTTGCGCTGACCACGCAACACCCTCTGTCTGCAAAAGTTGGCACTAAACTTTGCCGACAAGCGGTGGTCGATCGGTTGGTATAGTTCGCTTGCGGACTAAAATCACTTTTTTTTTTTTTCTCCCGTATTGTCACGTATAAGGGGTAGGCGTGACGAATAATTGTGTGTTCTAGATTTGATGATTGGATTTATTGGATGTCTCTATTACAGTTACAGCTAATTATAACAGTTCACACAATGAACTTCTTGATAACAAATTTCTCACTGTATTCCAGTTCTTGGGTTTGTCTCTAGTCTTTAGTCTACTACTCAGTACGACTGGTTGCTCTGTTGGTAAATTCCTCTCCTTTCATAACTTTGGGTAAAACAACATATTCATTCCCAAGCAACTGTCTAGTTTCTGTGTGTTTATGACTTGGTACCTAGTAATGACACGTTCCCTGCTGTATGTTGTAATGAGAATGGGAATTTTATTGAGTGACGGACGTCTCGTTCTTGCTCCGCTCACGTTTTCAGTCATCACATTACACTAAGAAGGAGACTGTACAACTTGGGACACTGGACACAAATAGGAGGATAATATTAAAATGAATCTTAATGACATAGATCATAGGGATGTGAATTAACTTGCACTATAGTGAGGACACAGCTGAGTCCCCTGGTTCAACTACCTCCACATCTCCCTCTGTTCTGTTTCTCCCTTAATATTCCTGTTCACATATGTAACATAATTTTGCTGTATTCTGCTGCAGTTTTAGGATATTTACAGTGTTGAAACTTCATAACTTGTACTCTCCTCCAAGTATAATTAGAATGATCAAGGGTATCGGTGGGAAAGCCAAAAGGAAAGAGACCACTGGGAAGACCAAGGTGTAGGTGGGTGGACAATATTAAAACGGATCTTAGAGAGAGAGGATGGGATGGTATGGATTGGATAGATCTGGCTCAGGATAGGGACCAGTGAAGGGCTCTTGTGAACACGGTGATGAACCTTCGGGTTCCATAAAATGCTTGGAAATTCTTGAGTAGCTGCACAATTGGCAGCTCTTCCTGAAGGGCTCAGCTTCATGGGTAAGTAAGTAAGTAAGTAAGTACAGTATTGAAAATGCTTTAGCTTCTTCCATGTTGGTTATGAACAGAAGTGGAAATTGTTTTCTTCACAGGTGGTTTTGTTCCAAGCTCACCCTCAACTGAAGCAGTTCATTCGTCCAGCAGTAGAGAGGGCAGTACAGGAATGGATTCACCCGGTTGTGGATCGCTCCATCAAGATAGCACTCACCACGTGTGAACAGATAGTGAAGAAAGATTTTGCCTTAGATCCAGATGAGTCCCGTATGCGAGCATCTGCGCATCACATGGTTCGAAACCTGACTGCAGGAATGGCCATGATCACATGTCGTGACCAGTTGCTGGTGTCAATTAGTACAAACCTGAAGCAAACATTTTTATCTGCACTTATGGTAAGTTTGTGTCAGTTCCAGCCTTGTGATAGAAAATGTAGCAGTACTGTACTTAATTTGAAGAAATCATATATATATATAGGTGAGATTTGAGATATTAGCAGCAGTGAAAATTAAGATACGGTTAGACACCAGATGTAGCCATCTGACATACAGAAGTTCTTTGTAATGTGTACAGTGAAGTAAAATAAAGCTCTTCCTGTAACAGGCCATGAAGGCCCATAGGGCTGTGAGAAGTTGAAGGTCCACATTATCTAGACAATCGGCTCAAAGATGGCGGTAAGGTTGTCAGCCTTACCGCCGTCCGCGCTTTACTCCCCAGGAAATTTACATAATTAATTCCTGGTACTCATTTCTGTTAGAGGCTGAGTCGACCCCAGGGCCCTAATGCAGCTGGAAGGATTAGGCCAATTGAAAAAAATCCAGTGACCTCATCAGGACTTGAACCCGTGACCTTCTAGCTTGTAGCATAGTGCCTCAACCAACTACGCTACCGCGTGTACATCACAGAACAAATTATCTTGAATTTCAGGGTGCCACACCTCAGCAGAAAGAATTGGTGGAGCAGGCTGCAACAGCTGCAGCTCAGGACAACATGGAGTTGGCCTGTGCTTTCATTCAGAAGACGGCCATCGAGAAAGCGATTCCTGAAATAGACAAGCGACTTCTAACAGTGAGTTTATTGCCACTCTCTCTGGTCCCTTGTAACAAGCCTTTGAAGGGGGAATTGGATTTATTGAACTGTTAGAATTGAAGTGACCCAGAAGATCACTGTCTGTCAGTATAAAGGCTCTGTAGTCACTGATAAGGTGGAATGAGAATTGGCAGGGTACACTGTGGTACCCAGAGAAGACTTGCCCTGGGATCAGACCTGTGTGGCTGCTCTTACTGTCTTCTGGGATGAGATGCAAGAGTCTTATACATTGTCACCAGCTGCCTGGAGGATCTTGCTGCATCCATCTTCAGGGTAGAGTAGTAGTGGATGTAGCACGTGCCTCCTTGATGTTGGTAACAATGTACCGAACTCCACGGTGCCACATCCCGGAATTCTGATCTCACAGTAGGTCCCTAACTCTGTGTGGCTGTAAAATCTGCATAATTAAGAGATATATATCAGGCTGTGCTTAATTATGTCTTATCAGTAACTGATAATTCTGATTGTGAAGTGATTGCTTTGTATTCTTGTATGTCAACTGAATCTGAAATTATAATTGCTAAAAATGTGTATATGTGGTACCGCTACACAACTCTTAAAGCTGTGAAAATTCTGTTCGCCTTAGTTAAGTAAAATATTCTTGTAGCTGTATGCCTCATTATTACTACTGTGAATCTCTTGTAGGAGTTTGAATTACGAAAACATGCACGCAATGAAGGTCGGCGCTACTGCGATCCTCTAGTACTTACATATCAGGCTGAGCGCATGCCAGAACAGATTCGCCTGAAAGTGGGGGGAGTTACGTCTCAGCAGATGGCAGTCTATGAAGAATTTGCACGTAACATTCCCGGCTTTCTCCCTCTGACGGACCGAGACGCTGCCTTGTTCATCCCCAAAAATGTTGCGGTAAATTTGTGACCTAGTACTGCCACTTTCGTCCTTAACTGTAGTAGTGAAATGGAAAGTAATTGCTTGAAGCTATGTTTAATTACTGAGAGTATTTAGTAGCAAATTGCGGTTGTGTTTATTTTTCTCGTAGCAGGACTCGAACCCATCAGGGACACCATTCCAAAATACAGCACCCTCCCAACTGGTAAGTTTAAAGAAGATATTTTCTTCCTGTCTCAATTCAGAAATTCATAAGGGAGTTTTCGGTCATATTTCGGTTCTCGTGCATTCCTGTTGCAGACATATGGAACAGACGAGCTTGGTGCAGTGTTTGAGAAAATTACAAATGATTTAGAACATTATCTCCAAAACATAATTGGAAATCAGGGAGTGATACCATCAAATTGCCAGGTTAGCAGCCTGCACAGTCTGTTGGAGGCACTGATAATTGCCAGGAAATCGAGAGATGCCATGTCGGCCGTTTCTCTGCTGCAAAAGGTAACGTGTCATAGATCTGTATTCTTTTAAATCTAAGTTACTGTTTCCAGGCATACCTCACTTTCAACAGCTGTGTCTAGGATATCATGCCATATGGCCCATTCAGTCAGCTGATATTTTGAAGGAACATATCGCTTCCATCTTCAGGACTGAGGAATAGGCCAAGCAAGAAAGCAACACGAAGCAAATAACAAGCTTCACTTGTGGTTTTTTCTTTCTTTTTTTCTGTTTTCCTTTGTTTTTTATTGAGCCTAGAAGATGGAGTTGACGTGTTGCTCCAAAATGTTTGTCGACTTTCATCGGAACACACTGTGTTATGTCCCAGAAAGTACCACAAGTCATATACCTCATCTTTTCACCTCCAAATTGTCCAAAACACTGCAACCAGCATGTAAGCCAGGGTTCCACTATGTCTTCATAAATTAACTCCCTGTGACTTACTTACTTACTTATGGAGCTGAGCCCGTCTGGAGGAGCCACCAATTCTGCAGCTACTCAAGAATTTCCCAGCATTTCATGGAACCTGAAGGTTCATTACCGTGTTCACAAAAGCCCTCCACTGGTCCCTATCCTGAGCCAGGTCTATCCAAGCTATACCATCCCGTCCTATCTCTCTAAGATCGATTCTAATATTGTCCACCCACCTACACTTTGGTCTTCCCTGTTGTCTCTTTCCTTCTGGCTTTCCCACCAATATCCTATACGCATTCTTCGTCGCCCCCATTCGTGCTACATTACCTGCCCATTTCATTCTCCTTGACTTGATCATTCTAATTATACTTGGAGAAGAGTACAAGTTATGAAGCTCCTCATTATGCAGTTTTCTCCAACCTCCTGTCACTTCATCCCTCTTCGGTCCAAATATTCCCCTCAGCACCCTGTTCTCAGACACCCTCAGTCCTTGTTCCTCCCTTAATGTCAGAGACCAAGTTTCAGAACCATACAGAACCACAGGCAAAATTATAGTTTTGTACACGTATATTCTGTCAGCTTATGTTAGAATGTTATCTTGCATATCTGTAATTGTATGGGTTTTCAGATGAAATCCTAGCTGAAGTTTCTGAATTTGACACGGTTTCTTTATCACATCCCACTGCCTAGTTACCGGAGAACTCCATAGTTTGGTGCGGATGTTGATGCTTTGATTTAAGGCAGAATCTTGTTAGAGACTATTAAGATGAAGTTTCTTTTTTTTCCCATTTCAGGCTGTTGAAGGAATGTTGGATTGTTTGACCTCAATGCCAAATGACCCAGAACTGATGATAAGATATCGGGACATTCACCTCAGAGTCTTGAAAGCTCTCCAAGATCCGAGAGCTTACGGCGTGCAGTGGACTAACAAACAGGTGACCAGGTATGTTACCTGGAACCACAGCAGAATCTTCACCTAACCCTTTAAAGCATGGTGGTACCTGTGTGTACCACCTCCGTAAACAATAAATATCTCCACATTTGCCCGTGCATCATATCTGTGTGTTGTGTTTCTCACATTAAAGAGTGATTATTTTCTGGTTGGTCTTTGTAATGGAGACATAATTCACTGTTTCCTTTGAGGCTGGAACACAATTTTTAGTATTACATAAATGGACTTATGCTTCCCGGGTTTACATATGCAGGTGTAAAGTTTATGTCAGTTCAGTCTTAACCGCGAACAGTTTCCCAGTGGGGAGTAAGGATGGATTTCATTTACTTTTCAGGTGTTTGATGGAGTGTCGAGAAGAGTTCAGATACAATGTTGATGCCATAGACTGTCTCATTCGGTCACACTTGGTCAATCTGCAGCAGTATGATTTGCATTTAGCGCACTCTATGGATAATGGCTTGAACTACATGGCCGTTGCATTTTCCATGCAGTTGGTGCAGCTCTACCTTGTGGATGAACGCTTGAACAGCACTGTCACAGAGAGCGATCTCTATCATACTATCGAGATGTTGGCACGTATTGCCACGCACTCCAGGCAGCCTCCCGATGGGTGAGTACCAATGTGACCCTCTTCAGAGAGTGTTAGGATGAAGGAGGCTGTAAACTGATGTATTGATGTCACAGTGGGAAGGTGTCATGTGGTTCGAAGGAGTTTGTAGCTGTCTTTGCAGAGTCAGCTCTGGGCTGTTCACTTATTTTGATGACTGACACTAGCAAGCCTCTGAACTCCCTGTTTTCACATCGTCAGGTCGCCATCACAATAGGCTCCCTCTGTTTTGGAAATTGAGGCTTGCTCACCTGAAGTGAAGCAGGCCTGAATCTTCAGGCTGTCATAATGGTTTCTTAAGAGCCGTATTTCCATTTTTAGGCCGGTACTTGAGAAAAAATTTACTGCTGCACTTGTCCCAGTTCTAAAACAGTGTCTGTAATCTGTAATTTTGCCTGTGAATGTAGGCAGATTGGACCACCAGACCACAGTGATGTTCCACATAAACAGACCCCGGATTTTTCCATATATTGTAACTATGTAAATAAGATCTAAAAGTTTGTGATGATGGTAAATTGTTACAATTAATATTTTGCTGGACATTAGCCATCATCTTGTCTATTCTAAAAAACAGTCTAATTTCTCTTAAAAAACACAACGTTTCGGGAACTGGATTCTGTCCCCGTCTTCAGGTAAAACCTACTCAGTTGGGTCCAATAGACAGAGCTAGCCCCTGTCTCCGGACAACTATGCCAATTTCCGAAGGGATTCATAAAAGAAGCACAACTTAATCCATCTGTGAGAGCTAAGATATGTTGAAGCTATCATAATTTGAGGCTTAGCACCAGAGAAAGA